TGTGTGTGTGTGTGTGTGTGTGTGTGTGTGTGTGTGTGTGTGTGTGATATGGTGTGTGTGCGTGTGTGTGTGTGTGTGTGTGAGAGACAATGGCTCTAACCTGGTGGTGGATAAAATTGCTCCCTCCATTCTCCAGGAACATCCCTCTGTGCTGCCTCAGACTAGGAATAAGGGGGAAAAAACTACTTCTGTTCCTCTTTATTTCTTACCCACTTGAATTTCTTGCACCAATAACATTAAAGTTTACTTGCATTATCTGTTCAATTCCAGTCAAGAAAAGCACTCGTATCAAAAACCACAAACATTTGCTGTTCAAATCCATCAGCGATACACAACATTGGCCTAGTGCTGATAATGGTTGCAGTTTGCTGAGAGTGGTGACAGACGTCCCTGTTACTGTCATATTGATGGACGGAGGACTAAAGTTAGCTGCCTTTAATAACCAAAATACACAGGGGGAAGTCCAAGTTATTCATTTACTATAAACATTGTGTGTTTTCTTCCACTAAGCTAAGACTTTCTAAATCATCTTACAGCAAAACAACAGGAGAATCTCTGTCAATGCAGAAACCATTGCAGACATGTTAAATGTATTTAGTATTCTACATCGCTTTACAATCTAGCTGTTTTTGTTTCCTCTTTAATTTTTATTTATTTGTTCTTCTCAATTTGTATGCTTTTAATGCTTGTCTACTGTTGTCAGACCTGGAGGCTCAATGGCATCTACCTGTCTAAATAAAGGTTGAATGAATCATGTCTAGTCTGGACTATTGCAATTGTTTACTATCTGGGTGTTCACAAACTTTTTAAAAAGTCTTCAGCTGATCCATAATGCTATTGCCTAAGTTTTAATGAGTTGAAAGAGAGATCATATCTTTCCAGTTTTAGCTTCTCTCCATTAGCGCCCTGTCAAATCCAGAATAGAATTCAAAATCCTACTTCTAGCCTACAAAGCTCTCAACAACCTGGTTCCATCTTATGTTACAGATCTTATTATTCCGTATTTTCCTAACAGAGCACTTCGCTCTCCGACTGCAGGTTTACTTGTGGTTCCTAGAGTTTCCAAAAGCAGAATGGGAGTTAAGATCTTTCAGTTCTCATGCTCCTCTCTTGTGGAACCAACTTCCAGTTTCTGTCCATTAGGCTGACACATTGTCCAGTTTTAAGACTGGGATTAAGACTTTCCTTTTTGGAGAAATCCTATAGTTAGGGTTGGTTTGGGCTTCCTCATCCATCCCTTAGTTATGCTGCTATAAGCTTATACTGCTGGAGAACAAACTGACTACATTTCCTCGCTCTGCTGCTATCTTTACAGACTCTACTCTCCATGTTTATATGTTCAGTTATTGCTGCCTTTAATGTGTTTTCGTAGTTTTTGTTTTCTTTCCATAGAATGGTAAATGGACTGTACTTGTATAGCGCCTTTCTATTTTACAGAGGTACTCAAAGCACTTTACACTACAATTTGTGCCCTCGTTTACCCATTCATACAGTGCTCTACTAATTCAATGCAATTCAATTCAGTTTATTTATATAGCACCAAATCACAACAAAGTTGTCTCAGGGCACTTTACAGGAACATTCACATACATAAAAGCCAATTAGTAAAGTTCTCTATCTAAGGAATCCAGCAGACAAGTTGAATCTACTAGATCTGTACAAATAATAATCAGTGCTTTATCACATTCATCCACTGATGGGACACACATTGGAGGCAATGAGGCGTTCAGTGTCTTGCCCAGGAGCACTTTGACATGAGACTGCTGGTGGAATCGAACCCCCAACTCTTGCATTGGAGGATGACTGCTCTAACACATCTGTACTCATTGGCATTTAACACAGTGTGATCTCATTTGGTATTTCATCGTTGATGATTGTGTTCATCCATTTTGTTTTTACTCCCTGACATTAAACACAGGGTGATTTGATTTAGTATTTCTTTGTTTCTCATTATATTTCATGTTTTTATGCTTTTATTGATTTGCTGTAATATCTTGTTATTAATATTTGATGCTGTGATCTTTTTTGGTAAGCACTTTGATAACAGTTACTGTTTTAAATGTGCTATATAAACAAATGTGACTTGACTAACCACTCAGCCACAGCTGCCCAGAAGCTACACTTGGACAGTCCTTCTGTGTTTGTCTGTGTCTCTTTCCTGGCCTCTCAAATCCCAACTGGTTGAGGCAGCCACCTGTCCATTCTCAGCCTGCTTCTGCTTTTAATGGGTTTATTATACATTAAAAAAGTATCATTCCTCTTTCCAATGCTGCATTTGTGTTTGCTTCGGATGGGAGACTGCAATGAGGAGAAGATTTAACACAATCTGCCGGCTTCCTTAGATAGATAATTCATATCAATGATATTTTACAGTGCCCTGAGACGACATCATTTGTGACTTGGCACTGTTTAAATAAATTGAATAGTTCTATGGCACACTTTTGAATGTCTTTATAAATGTATTTTTTAGCGTGACCACATGTGTGACATTCCTTTGCATGGAGCACAACTGCAGACTGGATGACTTGTGCAAAAGAACTTGTGCTTAATTTTCATGCTTCCTCTTTGACTGTCACCCCCCGCAGTAACACATTACACACCAACTTACACCGGTCCCCCCCCCCCCCCCACCACCACATACACTCTATTGGTCACTTATATCATGAGCCCGCCTCCACACCAGCCTCTTTATAAAGAGAGACTGAGTCAACGGAGTTGGAGTTACATGGACTGCCCCTTTAAAGAGTCAGACGCTTCCGTCAGGGCAGATGAGTTTGAGGTTTGGGTGTCACGCTAGTTTAAAAGATAGAAGATATTTCTGCAAGCTTTTTTAAAGTTTTTTTTTTGCACACAGAGGAGTTTAAAACAATAAAATAAAACAATCTTCCATTTTTTCACTCTGCTGTCATCATCAGTCTGATGGATTTGTCCGATTTTCCCTTCCCACTCTCAACAGCTGATGACCTCTATGACCCCTGCTTCAGCACCAGCGATTTGAACTTTTTTGATGACTTGGATGCTCGGCTCACACACGGGGGCCTGCTGAAGTCAGAGGACCATCTCAGCCATCATGTCCCAACATCTGAGGAGGAGGACCAGCATGTGAGGGCTCCTGGGGGCCTCCACCAGGCGGGCCACTGCCTGCTGTGGGCCTGCAAGGCCTGCAAGAGAAAGACGACGCACGCCGACCGGAGAAAAGCTGCGACGATGCGAGAGAGGCGGCGACTCAGCAAAGTCAACGATGCTTTTGAGACTTTAAAACGCTGCACGGCCTCCAACCCAAACCAGCGGCTCCCCAAAGTGGAGATACTGCGAAACGCCATCAGCTACATCGAGTCCCTGCAGGCGCTGCTGCGGGCCGGACAGAACGACGGCTTCTACCCACCTCTGGAACACTACGGCGGGGAGTCCGACTCCTCCAGCACCCACTCCAACTGTTCTGAAGGCACGGTGAGTCCGAGAACAGCTGAAGAGTTCATGTGCCGCCTGATGAAATGTGAGGAATGTGGCCGAGGATTTATTTTGGGCCACAGTCATTAAATTTGACAAATGGAATCTTCAAAGTGTATCCCAGTAGAGTTGAAATGAGCTGAACAACAATTGACATTTAAAATGGGATTACCTGGTTTGTAGCAGTCCTACACATTTATGTTTTATTTGTTGATGAAGTAAAGACTCAAATTCACAAGTTATTTCAAATTCAGAAATTGAATATTTTAGCAATTTATCTAAGTACATTTGGTTATTTTTATTTTTCTTGTATTTTAAATGCTTGTTTTCAAACTAAAGCCACTAAATAGTTAAAGCCAGAGAATAAAAAAAAGTGTTTTTAAAAGCACTTCTTTGACTTAACAAGACCACTTGCAAACAAATGAGGATAAAGTTGATAAATATGGTCAGTTTATATATGAACATATATATATATATATATATATATATATATATATATAATTTAACAAATTTAGTTTTAAATATGACAGCAGACCTATGATTTGTTGTTCATTTTTGTTTTGTTTGCAGAGTTTTGTCTCTCCGTGTTCATCCAGTAGTGAAAACAGCGACTCTTCCTACGTGAAACAAGCCACAGACGGTGAGTAGTTTTAATATTTTATTTTTTATTTTGATCCGGAGAGACGGTAAAATTTGTACTTTAAGAACATTTATCCTTCATGAAGATTTGTTTTACAAAGACAGACTCATCCTCTAATGATTAATGTCATCAAAGAGTTGGTTCTGTAAAACTAAGCAAAGCATATTCAATTTAATTTAATTTAATTTAATTTAACTTTCCTTGTCAAAGTTCAGCTTGAATTTCTGTCATTAATAAATTGGTATTTTTTAGATGTTTGATTGCTTATGTATAAAATGAGTATTTTCAGAATTCTGTTGTATCATTTGTTAATTTATAGCTATTATATTTATTTTATGACTTGTTGCTCAAAACACCTTTCTGTTTTTACTGAGTATAAAACAATGTCACCGTATTCATGTCCGAGCCGAGACATTTTTATCCAATATTTTGATGTTCTCACAGCTGTCAAACAATTTGTTTGTACAAAAACTAAAGACAAATTCAAATCAAGTTCTACTGGAGGCCTCAACTACTTGAGATGTTTTCTTATGAGTGCTGCTATAGCTTGGTGGTCAGTGCTTCGGCTTGTTTCGCCATTGTAGGGAAAATACAATGATGACAATACATAACACATTATTATTATTGTTATATTGAGGTTGTGGGTTCAAGCCCAGGCTGCATCAGGAAGGGCATCCAGTATAAAACCATTGCCAAATCTTTCACGCTAGTTGGCTCGCTGTGGCAACCCCAGACATAAGAACAGTCTAAAGAAACTTACCTTCTTCAAACATTTTTTTAAACCAGTATTTTTCCTAGTTTGTTTGAAATTCTGTGCCAGACGAGAAGCAGCCAAACAACGTTGAAATATTTATGATTGACCAGTAGGTGGCGATAACATCAACGTTGAAACACGTAAACTAAAATAAAACAAAATCCTTTTCAGAGCTCGACTATCTTGTTTTTCGTTTAAACTTGTTTACTGTTTTCTAACTTTTCAGAACAAAACTGAAACGTAATGTTAACATTGGGCTAATTTTACCAGAAAAAAACACTTTTTTAAAAAACTGTGCTCTTGAGAATATTAATGATTCTAGATTCTCCCGGTAGACTGGGAGCCCGACCCAAATGAAGACTGATCTGAACCTAGATCAACTGTTGAATTTCAAATGGTAAATGGTAAAAGGACTGTACTTATATAGCACCTTTCTATCTTATTTCAAGATACTCAAAGTGCTTTATACTACAATCTGTGTCCTCATTGACCCATTCATACAGCACTCTACGAGATCTCTACAAAGCTAATTGAACAAATCATTCTAAAGAGAATAATCAGAGCTTTATCACATTCATACACTGATGGGACACATATAAGAGGCAATGAGGGGTTCAGGGTCTTGCCCAGGGACACTTCAACATGTGACTACTGGTGGATTTGAACCCCCAACTCTTGCATTGGAGGATGACTGCTCTAACCACTCAGCCACAGCCGCCCCATTTTATTTAACTTCTTTTTAACAGAAGTAATATTTATACTGGTGTTTTTTTAAATCATTAACATTTATGACAGTTAAATTTAGGCAGTGTTTCTAGGAATGGCCGAAATGAAGAAGCAAAGACAATAAGATTCTTTCGCTGAAAGAGAAAAATGTAAATTAGAGGTGTTGAACCAGTCAATGGTTTTGGACACGTAAGGGGTTCTTCTTGTGGAGTTTAAAAATTTTAAGCTAGAAAGGTGAAGATTAAAATCTGTAATTTAAACATAATTTATGTTATTCAACTCAATTTAATCTGAGATCAGAGAAAATAAAAGATCTAAAGTTTCACTTTGACAGATCCACTCTCTGATTGTTCACCAACACACCTTGATAACACGAGAGGTCAACATAAAAGCACTTAACAACTGGAGGAGTGTTGCAGAGCGCAAAACTGCACAAGTTTTAGGATTATTGCTATTTACATGTGGAACATGAAATAGCGATAAACTGCCATTGTTTGCAGATGACATTGTGATCTGTGGTGAGAACAGGGAACAGGTGGAAGAGAACTTGGAGAGGTGGAGGTATGCACTTGAAAGAAGAGGAATGAAAGTCAGTCGTAGTAAGACAGAGCACGTGTGTGTGAATGAAAGGGAGGAGGTGGAACAGTGAGGCTACAAGGAGCAGAGGTCACAAAGGTGCAGGACTTCAAGGACTTGGGGTCCACTGTCCAGGAAAATGAGGAGCGTGGTAAAGAGGTGAAGAAGAGAGTCCAGGCGGGATGGAGTGGATGGAGAAAAGTTTCATGAGAGATTTGTGACAAACTGGTGTCACGAAAGGTCAAAGGAAAGTTTACAAGACAGTGGTGAGACCAACTATATTGTATGGTCTGGAGACAGAGACATGGACAAAAAGACAGGAGACAGAACTGGAAGTGGCAGAAATGAAGATGTTGAAGTTCTCCTTAGGAATGACAAGGATGGAGAAGATTATGGATTAGATCATTAGAGGTACAGCACAGGTTGAACAACTGGGAGATAAAGTTAGAGAGACCAGACTGAGATTGTTTGGACATGTCTAGAGGAGGGACAGTGGTTTGGACATGTCCAGAGGAGGACAGTGGGTTTATTGGTGGAAGGATGTTAGAAATGCAGTTGCCAAAAAAAAGACAAAGAGGAGATCTATGGATGCAGTTAGAGAGGACATAGAGGTAGTTGGAGTGAGGACAGAGGATGCAGAGGACAGAGGATGCAGAGGACAGAGGATGC